GATTTTTTAAGTTTTAACTATATACATATAGGATAAACCTATGGCTCCCAGGGGCGGGGCTAATTTTGACACAAGAGGCAAAATTTGAACAACTTTGGTAAAGTACCTTTAGATGATATTATTTAACAAATATTAAAGCTCTAAGCCTTGTACCTTCAGACAATAAGATTTTTTTATTTTTTACTATATGTATATATTGAAATCAATGACCCCCAGGGCGGGACAATTTTGACCCCAGGGCTATAATTTGAACACTCTTGCTAGAGTTTTACAACACAATGTTTCATGCAAAATATCTAACCTTTAGCATTTGTCAATTGCTAGAAGAATTTTTTTTAAGTTTTTACTCTATATATATATAAGGAAAACCAATTACCCATGGGACGGGTCTTTAAAAGGTGTTTTAAGTTTTTACTATATGTACATAAAGCGAAAATCAATGACCCCGGGGCGGGCCGATTTTGACCCAAGGGCTATAATTTGAACAATCTTGGTAAGGATCTACCAGATGATGCCTTATGCAAAATATCGAAGCTCTAGGCCTTAAGGTTTTTACAAGAAGGTATTTTAAGTTTTTACTATATGTACATAGTGAAAATCAATGACCCCGGGGCGGGGCCAATTTTGACTCCAGGGCTATAATTTGAACAATCTTGTTAGAGGTCTACCAGACAATGCCTTATGCAAAATATCTAAGCTCTAGGCCTTTTGGGTCTTTACAAGAAGATTTTTTTAATTTATTCTTATAATTCCTTTTGGTTGCCATGGCAACCAGATTTCTGCATGGAATGAAATTCTTTGAACAACTTTGGAAGCCCTTTACCCAAGGAACAATCCTGCCAAGTTTGGTTGAAATTGGACTAGTGGTTTTTCACAAGAAGATTTTTTAAGTTCACTATATAATCTATATAACACACACACAAACACACACACATACACACAGGTGAATCGCTATATGCCACCGCATCGCAGATGCTGCAGTGGCATAAAAATTTACCATTGACCCATTAATGTCGAAAATTTAATTTAACTAATTTAACTAAGTGGATAAACAGGGAGTGGATGAGCTACACATCAAAAAACGAATCCCACGCTATGGGACCATGTGTCAATGCTGTATGCCAAATATCAAGAGGCTGTGATAAGTTAAGTTGCTTAGAAAACTGTTACGAAAATTTCCTACCATTGACTATTAATGTCGAAAATTTAACTAATTTAACTAAGTGGATAAAAAGGAAGTGGATGAGCAACAGACCTGAAATCAAATCCCACGGTATGGGACCATCTATCTATGCTGTATGCCAAATATCAAGAGGCTGTGATAAGTAGTTGCTGAGAAAACTGTTACGGAAATTTTCTACCATTGACCATTAATGTAAAAAAATTTAACTAATTTAACTAAGTGGTTAAACAGGAAGTGGATGAGCAACAGACCTGAAATCAATTCCCACGGCATGGGACCATGTGTCTATGCTGTATTCCAAATATCAAGAGGCTGTGATAAGTAGTTGCTGAGAAAACTGTTACGGAAATTTCCTACCATTGACCATTAATGTAAAAAAAATTAACTAATTTAACTAAGTGGTTAAACAGGAAGTGGATGAGCAACAGACCTGAAATTCAATTCCCACGGCATGGGACCATGTGTCTATGCTGTATGCCAAATATCGAGAGGCTGTGATAAGTAGTTGCTGAGAAAACTGTTACGAAAATGTTTTCCCCGCCCGCCCGCCCGCCTGCCTGCCCGCCTGCCCGCCTGCCTGCCCGCCTGCCTGTCCGCCGCCTGACATTCACCATACTATAACCCGGATTTGCACCAATGCAACCTGGCCAAAAATGACAAAGTTTGAACCTCCACAGTGACTTTGACCTTAGTCGTAGAAACCTAAGTCTTGTTCGCGACACACCATACATCTTTGGTGATTTCATATGTGAAAGAAAAATTACAATCCTTCCATGCATAGTGAAGTTTCAGAGTGGACACGACCACCACCATCTATATTTATATAACATAAAAATGACAAAGTTTGAACGCCCACAGTGACCTTGACCTTAATCATAGGAACCCAAGTCTTGTTCACAACACACCATACATCTATGAGGATTTCATATATGAAAGAAAAATTAAAATCCTGTCATGCATACTGAAGTTTTAGAGCGGGCACGACCACCACTGCTATATGTATAAAGCGGGACGGACGGACTGACAGTTCGATTTTAATATGCCACCATTAGCGGGCATAAAAATATTTATGGTTTAAATGCTTATGAGCTATAATATATATATTAACTTCTATGTTTTATGTGATTATTCATCAACGACAGATGATTTTCATGTTGAATTGTTTATCTAAAACGCAATTTCTCCACAGAGATAAATGTATAACATGTATCTTTATAATATCACTGAATTTTACAATAATCTAAGTAAAATGTCAGACAGATGTTACATTATAATTATATTACAATCTATTTTGATCCTAGTTTCGTACTCCAGGTCAATTGTAACAAAGTTTGCAACTTCCTACATGTAAATATTAGTCCTAAGTTTATTTCTTACAATGTTTTCAAAGGGAACAATGCTGCAGCCAAATAAATGGGCTCAAGAAATACATTATGAATGTTCAACAACAGCTGCAATAATATCAAAGTTTTGTAAACAGATTTATACATGTATCATGATTATTTTTTTCTATAAGGATAAAAACTCATAAATGGATGCCAGAGACTGACTTCACACACTGACTTGTGTAGCTTTTTATACTTCTCAACAACATGATGATAATAGTGTTGTTTGTTTTGCAAAGATTATCAAATTAAAATTGTTGCTTTTTCTTTTACTCGAAATATACATTTTTTTATTTGATCTTGGCAGTAAATGTCCACTTTTAACTGGAAATATTCCTGGTCAACTAGGGAGTAATTAATAATTTCTTTGCTAGAAACCAGCTACTTATCTCGCCTGATTTCTTAATCAGCGGTGAGAAACAAATAACCATTGCACTTGATGCCATGACATCAATTGTCAAAGAGAAAATCTGCCTCATCCGAGGATCACACTAGGGAATCTTGGATTCAATTTTGATCCTCTTCCTATTTTAGCTATTTGGGGCAAAGTATATTTATTTAAACTTCAAATTAAATATTATTCTCAGATTAAATGTAGACTGCCAAAACAATGCAAAATATAATAAATAAAGTGTATACTTTATTATATATGAATATTTCATCATTTTCTCTATAAAATACAATTTGATAGAAGATGGCTAAAAAACCTATTTGGCCAGATGTTAATTTTAGCATTTTGTACTTCAAACATGGGTTACCAACGTGTATCAGTAACCTGATTATATGAGATCGATATAAATGAGATCATAATATATTATAACTAGGTTGATATTGCCAGTATTTTAAACGCACTCTCCCAACTAGGCCATGTCATCGTGTACTTCATCACTGATAAGCAGCATATGTTGTACACTGTATTATATATGAATATTTTATCATTTTCTCTATAAAATACAGTTTGATTAGAAGACGGCTAAAAAACCTATTTAGCTAGATGTTAGCATTTTGTAGATTATATCTGGGATACTGACGTGTATCGATTCAGAGTCAACTCGTCCCATGGTCAACTCGTCCTGTGGTCAACTCGTCCTGTTGACAACTCGTCCCGTGGTTAACTCATCCCTAACTCGTCCCCTATATCTTATTATTATTGTTTTTCATATACAGTATTTCATAAATTATTATAGACTTTTATTACATGCTTTTCGGTGGTTTATAGAAATATATCAGTGAAATAAAAACTGATAATTCACTGTTTTAAACAGTGAAATTATCAATTTGATAATTTCACTGTTTTGAATATTTGCGCCCGGTACGTTGTTTCAGTAAAATACAAGCGTGCACAGTACTGGAAACCAACTTAATGACGTGACGTCGTAAATGACGTCACGTTGTATTATTATTTGGCGCCCTTTTCATTTAGTACTATGTTAAAATGTCTTTTTAAACGTTTCTTTGCATATAATAAAAAGAAAATTTGTTTAGTTTAGTGTAAGATCGAAATATATTTCACCTCGTGAACACCAAAAGTTCATATTTCACTCGTGGCTGCGCCACTCGTGAAATATACCTTTTGGTGCTCACTCGGTGAAATATATTTCGATCTTACACTGAACTAAACAAATATCCTCTATTTAAAAAACTTTATATAAAATTATTGAATTGGACATTTTTTACGCTTTTCATATGCGAATATGGAAATTATACCAAACGCGTGAAAATCGTGCGAAAGGTTTTTATAAGTTTTTATTCTCCAGTTAAATGTCGAATTTGTTTATGATGGTGTATGGTTAAATATATGAAAAAAGGTTGATTTAATTCAATACGTTGACTTGTATTATACAAAAAATTCTAGAACTTGGTTCATTACAGCTCCTCATTGTGATCAATGTAAAGATTTATTTATGGAAATTTAATATTAATCTTTACTAATTATTACAAAGCAATTGAATATTTGGTAATTACTTTATCGCTAAATGTTCAGTTACTATCCACTGCAAATATCATTGTACGGATTTTTGTATAGAAAATAATACAAGAGGGCCATGATGGCCCTGAGTCGCTCACTAGAAACAACTGCTTTTCAGTGTTGGAATGTTAATATTTCCTAATATAAGATTTAAGTATAAAATATGTTTAAACAATAAATTGAAGAAATGCCATGACCTGGGACATTTAAGCTTTAGCTTAAACGGGGCTTATCAAATTAATATGAGCAAACTTGATAAAAAACAACCTAAGAATGCTACAAAGTTTCATCTATCAATTATTTCAGTGAAGATTTTTTTCAATTTTTAGCTTTAGTGGCCCCTAAAAGGGGCTAATCAAATTAATATAGCAAATTTGATAAAAGAGTACACAAGAATGCTACAGACAAAGTTTGGTGATCATCCATCATTTGGTTTAAAAGTAGATGTTTAAAGGTTTTTTTCTATTTTTAGCTTGAGTGGCCCCGAAAAGGGGCCAATCAAATTAATGTGAGCAAACTTGATTAAAGATTACCCCAAAATGCTACAAACAAAGTTTGGTGATCATCCATCAATTAGTTCTGTAGGAGAAGATGTTTAAAATTATTTCTATTTTTAATTTTAGCGGCCCCTAAAAGGGGCTTATCAAACTAGAACTGCCACTATCGTGGCGTGAATACCCCCGCATACCATTTTGTCAGAATCAACAGTGGCCATTTAGAGCTCAAGGACAACCTCCCTGCCAAATCTGAGGTTACTAAGCCAGTGCATTGCTAAGTTATGTATACTACATGATTCAAATGTGAAAATGTCAAAATCAATACATTGCGGACAGGACATTCTTTAGCAATTGAGAAGAAAAGCTTTTTATTGTCAAGGTCCCTGTGACCTTGACCTTTGACCCAGTGACCTTAAAGTAAATAGGGGTCACCTTATAGTCATGATCAACATCCATGCCAAATATGAAGACTGTGGGTCAAAGGAATCTTAAGTAAATGGGTGGACAAACTTTTTGAAGTCAAAGTTCCTATGACCTTGACCTTTGATCCAGTGACCTCAAAATCACAAGGGGTCATCTACTTATCATGATCAACATCCATGCCAAATATGAAGACTGTTGGTCAAAGGAATGTAAAGTTATTGGGCAGACAAACTTTTTGAAGTCAAAGTCCCTGTGACCTTGACCTTTGATCCAGTAACCTCAAAATCAAGAGGGGTCATCTACTAATCATGACTAACCTCCATGCCAAACATGAAGACTGTGGGTCAAAGGAATCTTAAGTTATAGGGCGGACAAGCTTTTTGAAGTCAAGGCCCCTGTGACCTTGACCTTTGACCTCAAATTCAATAGGGGTCATCTACTAATCATGACTAACCTCCATGCCAAATATGAAGACTGTGGGTCAAAGGAATCTTAAGTTATTTGGCGGACAAGCTTTTTGAAGTCAAGGCCCCTGTGACCTTTGACCTGGTGACCTCAAAGTCAATAGGGGTCATCTACTAATCATGACTAACCTCAATGCCAAATATGAAGACTATGGGTCAAAGGAATCTTAAGTTATTGGGCGGACAAGCTTGTTGAAGTCAAGGCCCCTGTGACCTTGACCTTTGACCTGGTGACCTCAAAATCAATAAGGGTCATTTACTAATCATTTCTAACCTCCATGCCAAATATGAAGACTATGGGTCATAGGAATCTTAAGTTATTGGGCGGACAAGCTTTTTGAAGTCAAGGCCCCTGTGACCTTGACCTTTGACCTGATGACCTCAAAATCAATAGGGGTCATCTACCAATCATGACTAACCTCCATGCCAAATATGAAGACGATGGGTCATAGGAATCTTAAGTTATTGGGCGGACAATCTTTTTGAAGTCAAGGCCCCTGTGACCTTGACCTTTGACCTGGTGACCTCAAAATCAATAGGGGTCATCTAATAATCATGACTAACCTCCATGCCAAATATGACGACTGTAGGTCAAAGGAATCTTAAGTTATTGGGCGGACAAGCTTTTTGAAGTCAAGGCCCCTGTGACCTTGACCTTTAACCTGGTGACCTCAAAATCAATAGGGGTCATCTACTAATCATGACTAACCTCCATGCCAAATATGAAGACTGTAGGTCAAAGGAATCTTAAGTTATTGGGCAGACAAGCTTTTTGAAGTCAAGGCCCCTGTGACCTTGACCTTTGACCTAGTGACCTCAAAATCAATAGGGGTCCAGTCTGTGCGAAAGTCCGTCGGTCCTCGGTCCTGACCGAAAAAAAATCATGCGGTCCGAGATAACATTTCAAAAAGTTAAAAATATTAATGACCTGATAGATAACAAGTATCCCGTGATGCAAAGAATTTACTAAAAGATATTGACCAACCTTAACTCTATTTTGTACATGTCAAATAAATACCAGTCAACTCTGTCAACAATGGTAAATTTTGCCGTAAAATACAAATTTGAAAATTTTGTTTTACGATGCCTCCCCTGCAAAAATTATTTCAATGTTGTTTTTCTTCCATTGATTTCCTATGAATTCCTATTAATTCCAAACTTTTCCATATTGGATTAGATTAGAATACATTGCATAGAATATTCAAAGGTATTCCTAAGATTTCTATGTATTATTTTATTAGAAAAGTATGGAAATCTTTGAAATAGATATTCCAAAGAATTGCTATGTATTCAAAATCTGAAAACATTGGATTACTTAGGAAATGACTACTTGTTTCAATGTTGAATTCCAAAGTCTTTGGAAAAGTTAGGACATAAGAAATATCCCTGTTGTATGATTTTGGAATACTTTGGAGTAGTTTAGACATTACTAGAATCACTAGAATCACTAGAACTGCCACAGTCAAGATATTGATGGTTTAACAGTTGATCATATTCGTCTGAAGTACTAGTACCTGCCTCTTGAATTACTGTGGATACTAATTGTGGTGAATCATTTGAAAAGCATGCTGATTCTGTGTTTTTAAGTTCTTTCACCTTTTTCATTCTTATCAATGTCCGCTTTGGTATTGGGTAATTGGGATCAGCTACATACTTCTTATAGCGTCCTGTATTTTCATCTAGAAAAGAAAAAAGAGCTATTAAATTTAATATACTACAGATAAACAAGTGTTAAATGTAAAAGTTTGTTTTTGTTAGGTTTTTAAAGTAACACCATTTTTTTATCAGTACTAAACTACATCGCTATATACTGGCAGTCAGTTTTCCTGTTTTTCTGAGCCAGTACTTACCCCTCTTTGCATGTAACTGACAACTTCCCAACGTAAATCAGAGGTAGGAGACAAATGAACATAAGGCACTCTGTCCGAGACCAAAATCAGTGTGTGGCGGGGCTGAGCGTTGAACTCACGACCTCCGGATTTATAAAGCCAGCAACTTATCCTGTACTGCATAACTGGGCCCTGCTAAATGTACTGAGGTATTAAGACATAACTAGCTTACCCCAGTTTCAGTGCCATTAGCTCTAGTGGCCACACTGTTTAGAGGAGTGGAACTTTTTTCTAATAATGTGTTTGAGGATGATATCATGACATATTCATGTAAATTTATTTAATCAAGTGTTAAGTGCACTAAGGGAATGATTGCCTGAATAGAATAAAATTTAATATGAACAAATTGAGCTAAATTAACAGTACTCAGCTACTGTGTGATCTAAAAAGGTCCATTTGAGCTGCATGTTGTACTGTAAACACTTATAAAATTAATGTATGTCTATATTCATGATTATAAATTAGAAAAATAGTATTTACGGCATTGTGAAATACAAACCATTTATTCCATGTACTGTTGATAAGTGTGACTGCAATCGCTGTTTTCTACTGAGCTGTTTCCCACATACATTACACTCATAATTAACATTGCAACAGCCAGAATTTTTCTCCAGATCTGCATCTACCATTTCTGCAAGATAAGCAAATGATTACATTAAAATAAATTATTGAATAAGATTACAACTATGCTGCTGCTTAATTACAGTAATGTCAAGAGAAACTGTTTCTACATTTGATCCTTATCAAGTCTTCATATTCCATAACATTACTGTAATTTTGAATTTAAATCGTAACATGGAAAAGATAAAGAGTCAACTCAGACCTATACAAACCTAGCCATAGTTAACATGGCACTGGTCACCTCAGCACATTAATTTGTATAAATTTGTACCTTATAATATATGATAAAAAGTTCAGAATTTTAAGATTTCTATGACTTTCTATAAATTCAGAAATTTCTGCTATATGTTGATATCATTTCTCCTATTGTGTAAATCTAAAAAATCTTATATTGCATTGCTCACCATAAAAATTAAAGTGTTTTTTTAAAGAGTTTGTTGAAATAGTTCTTCTTTTTTAATCATTCTGTCTTTGTTATTTTTTAGAATAAATATATTAATAAGTATCAAATATAAATGTTTTGTATAAATATAAATATTATAGATTCTTTTTTAACAATGTTTTTAATATATAAATAAATTAAGGTAGTCAGACTATTCTCTCCCTTACCAGTTCCTCCCCTGACGTTTCCTCCCTGACGGTTCTCTCCCTGTTTTGGGGGAGAACCGTCTGCATATTTGCAAATGAGCAGACAGTTCCTCCCCATTTTTATTTATACATTTTATTGAAGTATTTAGATGTTTAATAAATTGGTAAGTTTATTATTAATTGATAGAAATTAGAAAAAAAAAATTCATTGAACTAGTTAGCTGTTTAATAAGTAGATAAGTTTATTATTAATTGATATAAATTAGAGCTGTTTTTTTAAATTTTATTGAAGAAAAATATTTTTAGCCTATTACTTTATTAGTTAATTATTCTGATTTTTTTATTAGATCTTATGTAAACTTTTTAATGTGTTTAGTCATTGAAAATAATTAATGAATAATTTACTTGATTAGAATAATCATTAGATATTAATTATTGTTGGTTTTTAAATAAATAAGAATGAAATTTATATGAAAAAATATTAATGAATTTTAATTGCTAAATTTCATACTTTTGTATAATGAAGAAAGGAGTTCAATACACATGTTAGTTAGGTTTGCTGTCAGAGATAATTGAGGTTTTTATTAATTCATTACTAAAGAATCAAGGTGTTGATTAGATTAAAATAGCTGTGAAAAGATGTTGATGAATAAGTTTTTTTATTAGTTATTTGGTATTACATGTGTATACTGTTTCACGTTATTAATACATGTTCTTTAATCAATTTTGTATAAAAAGTAAGTGTGAAATGCGATTGCATACCAGTTTATGCTTATTTATTTCCTAGAACATACTTTATTCACTATTTAACAAATACATGAATATCACTAGACCTTAACACAATTACAGGTGTATATCAGTCACTGTCCAATTATCTTAATCTCTAATAATGAAGGTGTTGATAGCATTAAATGCCTGAAAAAGGTGTTAACAAACACTTTTCAGATAAGCATAAAATGCACTTAATATCAAACACATTCTTTCAAAAATCTTCATTAAAAAATATTAATTATTAGATTAAGTCAAAACTAAAATGATAACTTATATAGATCTATAAAAAATTGGGGGGAGAACTGTCTGCATATTTCAGATTTGGGAGAGAACCGTCAGGGGAGGAAACGGTTTGGGAGAGAACCGTCAGGGAGAGGAACTGGTAAGGGAGAGAATAGTCTGTCATTCATAAATTAATAATAAGTCAATATCCTTCAATTAAAATCACATTTCAAGACTGGTCCTAACTAACAAACAATACAGAATTTTTTTATAAATAATTTTTTTATACAATAAAAGTGACAGATTTTCAATCAGGACGTTACCGAAACGTCTCGCGTAAAGGGCCGAAACGTCTAGGGCCGATTTGGTTTGGGGCCGAAAGGTCCTGTTTGCTAATATACATTTCCTAAGCCTATAAACAAAAAAGAATGTCCATATTTACGGAAGATGTTGCTTGAAACAAATCAGATTGACCAACTTACGTTTTTCCATTTCATGGCTCGGCTGAGGTTACTGAAATATACTCAAAATAATTTTCTGTTTACAATTTCGTTTTCATCGACGACAAAATCCGAAGCTTACCGAAGATATTGTTATTATTATTGTTATAAGTAAAAGACAGTTTCAAACTTAAATTTTTTCATAAAAATAAAAATGATTCGTTTGTTTTGTTTTAAAAAGCATATATCTAGATAGTTATTATATAACATTATAATAATAATCGCCGATATGGCTAAATCTCGTTTAACGAGGTCGCGGATACGTGACGATGCGAGAGTAAAAATATTCCGCCAATTTCGAAAACGAAAACAACGCTCCAGACATGACTCAAATTCAATATGGACTATTTAGATGGCCCACGGACGCAAACACCGTGTCGGTGCATCATTTAAAGCACATTAGAAGTCCGATTAAGCTGTGGTCGGACTACAAACCTGGAGAGAAGGGTCGAGCAGTGTATCCCGGCAAAAAAGGTCCAGATGGAGACGGAACGTGGGCTTTTGAAATATTGTCAGTGAATTGTAAGTATTTTTGATAGTACAACACACATTATCACATTAATATTATCATGCTATTTATTTCAAATAATCTAGGAGTATGCTATTTTTTTGTGCATGGTTCGACTGTAAATAAGGGAATAATCGAACTCGTACCAAGAAATTTCGTACCACCTACTTGGAGACTTCGCACCAAATATAAACAGGCTGGTGAAAATGCCCGATTGGGCTTATGACATAAAAAACATATTTCTAGAAAAATAATGAAACCTGTGTTTTTTTATTGAGGATAATGTTTAACATAAACAGAAAGAAAAATATTTGGTGACTGTCCATTTGGTGAGAATTATTTCTTTTTCATGTTTATATAACACATTATTTTCTAAGTTCTTAAAAAATATGTTACATATGAAAAAAATAGGTTAAATAACTTCTTTATGATCTAATTCATTGCGCCAACATTACTTAAAATGAAAAATCTGTATAATTAATGTGAAAATTTGGCTGCATGTGGGGGCATCCGTGGCCACGTGTGACAACATTTTTCTATTTTTTTCCATATTACTGCAAAATTTTTTATTATAAATGTTTTTCTTTCAGCTAGCAAAAAAGTACTTGAAAAGGAGCTTAGTGATTATGTAAGAAAGAAAACAAAGGAAATCCCACATCCTATCAATTCCAATGAAGACGCCACAAATGGTAAGGCTGTTGCTGATTTCTTAAAGGGTATCATTTCTGAAATTAATGCAAAATGAAACTCAGTACACAGGTTTTGTCATATTATGTAAACACTTCATTCCTCAAGTCTAGAAAAAATTTGTTTTTGTAAAACTTTTGAAATAAAATTGGAAGACGTGATGTTCAATCGATTAACAGGAATAATAACTGGGATTATAGCGGCTGTAAAGATCAAAGAAATGCTGTTCAGTTTTTTCCAAAGTTGATGAATGAAGTGTTCACATAAATAAACAAACATGGGCAACATTAACTATTCAACTTAGTGAAGATTTATGTTGAGTCAAATAGTTTTGATGTTACTTCATTCACATATATATCTTTTGCTAATGTAGGATTCCATCTTTAAACAATAAAACACACTGGCCCTTTAATAAATAAAATGAAATGGTACATCATGTCCTAAGTTATAAATAATACATTTTTAGAGAGTGAGAGCAATTGTTCAATGTTTGTTGAAACAGATGAAGATGTCCAGCCACCAGCACCTAAAAAGCTCCTTTTACAATCCAGACAGGCTGCAAATACAGCCATCTTGAAATCAAGAGGTAAACCATATAGTTTTGCCTTGTGTTAAAAAATATATTGTTTGTGTAATTGGCCAGGCTTCAAAATGATGCCACTCTGCCTTTCATTGTGATAATTCACTTGACTCATTTGCTTTAAAACTAGGTGTGTATTTCAAAATAATTTTCTTCGTATTTTAAATGACATCATATCCGTAGATTGGTTCAGTGAGAAGTTCTACCACTAAGCTGACCGATATTTTCAACATATATTGTAACATTCCTAACATGTATTTTAGGCACAACCAATGTGGTCTCAGATATAAGCACAACCAATGTGGTCTCAGATATAAGCACAACCAATGTGGTCACAGATATAAGCACAACCAATGTGGTCTCAGATATAAGCACAACCAATGTGGTCTCAGATATAAGCACTGGAAGTGTAGAAACACCTACATGTTCAACTGGAACTGAAGAGTTGGTTGTCTCAAACAATGGTAAGAAACTTCCATTTTGTTCACAAATTAAAGACAGCATAAAATTTTTTCACAAATTAAAGACTGCATAAAAGTAGCTATCATAAAGAATTGGGTTATGTGAATGGGTGTTACTTTACAGCATGTGCTGTGTAGCCAGGGCTGGACATACCCACTGGCCCTGAGTCCAGGCTAGGTCAAATGGGAAATAAACATTACGTAAAAAGTGAGGGGTAAAAAATAGTATTGTACTTCTGTTGAAAGTGGGCTTAAAGCGATAACAAACAATCTTAAATGTGCTTTTGAAAACTATTTAAAGTGCAGACCTTAAGTTTTATTGCAGGGATCTTGTAAGAATTTATATACCTTGGTCATTTTTACTCATACTGTAACATTTCCAGAGATTATTTGTAAAATTTGGTTCCAATGTCCTTAATGACTATTGAGACACCTTGTTTTGGACATTCCAGCAGGAAATGGAAACTTCTCAACAACACAGGATCACATGCAGAATTGGAATTATCCTGGTTTGTTGGTCCATGATATTTATATGATAATATATAATTTTTGATACCTGAAAAGCGCATAAGCTTGATTGCTGGGGTATGGCCTTTATGTCTGCTTTGATCTGTTATCAAAATCAGTAATGCTAATTTTTGTGTCGCCTTGAAAAAAAAAATTTGTCCTGGCCATTTCTCCTAAACTATATTGTTCACAAGGTGACACATCCGACTCGCGGAGTTCTAGTTTTACATTTTTTTCTTTTTACATATTTTGATACATAGTAGAGACATCAGAGACATAATGTTGTAAAATAATATATAAACAAAGATCAAGTATTGTCACTTTAAAGTGACTACTCCAAATGATTGCTAAGAAAAACTTTATTTTTCTAGTAAAAGGATGGCATTTGATAAAGATTTGAAATTTGATACTTGACAAAATATTTTAGTTCATTAAAATACGCAGGACAAGAAATTTTGCTTTTCTTTCATTTTTGCAATATAAAATCTACACTTTGACAGATAAGGTTGGCTGAAGGTTAAAGTCATTTATGGATATTGTAACATGTCAATGCAGTTGGTCTTGGTAGCTAAACAGTTTATGTAACTTTCATTTACAGCCAATGTGACTGATATTCATTGACCTATTTATGTGATAGTTTTAGGAAGAAAAAAGTTCAGCTTTTGAACACATTTAAAACAAACGCAACCCTTACATAGCAAATTATTGATAAGAAACATTTTTTTATTAAAATCTTGGGTCACTTTCAGGCTATTTTCTTCCTGACACTATTTTTAAAACACTTTATAGGGACCAGTCATGCAGCAGCCTTCAGTCCATGGATTAGATCCCAGACACCTCACAGGCCATCGCCACAATATGGCAGCTTCAGTGACATGCTTTCCACAGCAAGATCATCACTATATGGAGGGGATCAAGAGTATTTTGAATACCGCCAGGCCCCTACCCAGTACCCCACACAGTGCTCTTGTCATGAGGAGGTTCAGACCTTAAAAGGGACTGTAAACCAATTGACAGCAGAAGTTAAAGCCCTAAAGAAGGCATACAAGGTATTCTGATTACAGTCAAAAGATGTGTATTTTTTCATATTTTTTTTTTTATTTTTTTTGAAAGTTTAAAATTATTAAATAATAAAATCATATTAGAAATGTGCCTGAAATGTGCCTATCAGATGGAATCATAACATCAATCAAGTTGAAAAATAAAGTATTTTAAGAAATTGTTTAAACAATCTTAAATAATCAGTTCTTAAGCATCATCATAAATCCCACATAAGTTCATATTCATAAACTGAAAAAAAAACATCAGTTTACCTGCACTTTGTTGTTGCATTTAACCTTAACACTGAGTTTTAAAACTTTATTTTAATACATAGTCCCTTAAAGATGGTGCAAATTGTTCTGTTTCTGCGGAAGCTGCTTCAATTATGCAGAAAGAAGAGGAAATCTTTCCAACAGGAAAGTCCAAGGTAAATTGATTATAAGTATTAATAGGTTATCAAACAGTACACAGTCAGTTTTTTAAAGCTGCAGTTATTGAAAATTCCACCAGTGTTATAGTATCTTACAAATATTACAGGTTCAGACAGGAAAATACAGCCAAGGGAAGGGTATAATGAGGCCCTGCAGAAACAGCTTTCCGATAGCTGGCTTTTCCTTTCTGAACCTTGCTTATATGTGAAAGATTTTTTTTTTCATACCTGAAATTTTTAATTGATTTTATTTTGTTTCTAGCGCGCCTTTTATTAGGGGTGTAACAATACAGAAAAAAACGTATTGCAATAATTGCCATTTTGCCGAAGCGTATTGCAATTATATTTCAATACGTATTTTCGTGTATATGTTTTGATATACAGATGGAGTTACATTATATATTATTATACGTATATATTCTTAGAAGAAACACCCTTACATTTTATATAGGAGAAGAGTAATATACAAGAACAAGTATTTTCATTCATAGTGCAAGCACACTATCTTTTTACAGTTCAGACTTTTTCTTCTAAATTTCAGGCTGAAGTTGAGCGTAGATCAGAGACTTGCCAGTCCCTTACTGTTGCTGTGAAGGAGATGATGCCACTTGTCTTTACAATTGAGGAACTGACCACTTGCACACTAAAAGGTCAAAAAAGTGGCAAGTCCTCTGGATACCAGAGGCCTCCCTTTGAATCAGCCAGGAAAGATTATTTAATAGGTATTACATTAAAAGGAATACTGGTAGAGAAAATTTGTTTAGCTGGGAAGGTCTCAGTATTGAGAATTGAGGTTAAATGCCATTCTGTTTGTTGAAGCATTGTCTGGTTAGTGGATTGTGCTGCTTTTAACATGGTTTGCTAGGTTTTGAAAAGCCCTCGATATGATGCCCAGACCTTTAAAAGTACTTGAATTTTTAACGGACAAAACATCCTTAAAAAGTTGTTGAATTTCGAGGAAAAAATATAAATTTTGTAAAATTGCAAATTTGTTGTTCTGTTTCCAATATATATCCTAGGAAAACAGCAAATAAATGAATAAAAAACTATGGAAAAAAAATAGCAAATTGACAGTGCTACCTTTGACAAGACCTACCATGGAGAAGGCAATAGTGTGTTTATACTAAAAAGTATGGGCTTAATGTGTCAGCTTCATGCATATTCTCGCGCTGTCTTATGTTATAGGTTTGCAAAACTTAAATGATGCACGAAACTTACAATTCTGTGTTTAATTATGCATTCAATTTAAAAGATATAAATTGCAGTTCTTAAGCAAACTTGATACATTGATGCACTCCTTGAAAATGGTTGAAAAGTGTTTGAATTTTTTTTGTAGTTCTGTATGAACCATGTTTAAGTGGGATTCTGCTGTTTAAACTCTTGTCATCTTGTATTTTTGTGCTGTTTGTGATTTTATCAAGCAGTTGCAGTAATTAAATGGCATCTTTAGTCAAGCCCAATTCCTTTGTCAGATAAAACCTCGTCACAAGTATTTCACTAAAAATATTTATCGGAAAATTTGCTGAGCTTTGGTCTGTTTGAAATGAACTGTTCCAAAACTGTATGTTGCAGATTTAACTTTGGTTTATGTCAGAATATTGCTATTTTATTGGTACCATACCATAAAAGATATCCTTTTATTATTTTGTAACTTAGCTCCATTATTCATTTTCAGTGTTACTTATGAAGAAGTTCGACGCGAGCGAGCAAGCGGTACAAATGAAGATGAGGAATCGGCTGAAGATCCTCAGAAATCAATATGCTAATAGTAAGAAAGTTTGTTTTTTTAATTATTGACAAGGTACACAGGTAGTCGATTCATGTCATTCTATTAAAACACATTGAATGTATTAAATCTTTTTTTTTTTTTATCCTACACCAACTTGGCTCACTTAAGTTATGCTCTGGGTGAGCTATTGTGATTGCCCTGTGTTTGTCTTGCGTCGTCTGCCTTTATCAATTTCTTTAAACAACAATCTCTTTGCAACAAATGACTGGATATTGACCAAACTCCACAGGTATGATCCTTGGGTGGTTCCATATATCAAAGTTGTTAAGTTCGTTTCGGTCTGTTGCATAAGTAGGTCACAGAGACAAAAAAAGGAGATTTAAAAATGAAAATTTCAAAATCTTGTCTTTATACGCATTTATATTCCTTCTTTTAAATAAGTTTGCTTAAATATAGCTAGTTATGAAATAGTTGTTTGTTTGTGTTTTACACCTGTTTTTCAGCTGTAGTACAACAATATATATAATGTCTGTTCCAGTTTTTCTGGGTTTTTTTAATCATTAACTTCTCTCAGCAAGTAACTGACAACCTTCCCACATGAATTAGAGGTGGGAGATGATAAGACATGATCAGATTGTCACAGAGAGTGCAGGTTGGCTCAGAATCAAACTCGCGATTTCAGGATTTGAAACCGGCTATGCTTGCTTGGTCAAGAATCATAACAAACGTGAAGGTCTCTGCTCGGGATTCAAACTCTGCTTTGATTATATAGTGTTGACTAAATTACTATGAAGTTTAAGAGAAGTTGGAAGGTTTCTTGTTTCATATACAATTTATATATTTCAGTTGCTGTACAGAACAGTGAGAATACACCATAGTTTTCACAACACCTGTCAGATGGGCCCCAATAGAATGGAATTTTGGATAACGAAAATTAATGATATGTTGTTTTTTAAAGACTTTATTGTTCCAGATACCTTTTTGTGTTCTTATTATTTTCTCAGGTCAATTTGAAATGAGATTACAACCTTGTTATATGTTTCATTGTGCCAAATAATTGATTGTGATTACTCACTAGTATTTTTTTAAGACTTGATTTTTTGTGTTATTATTTTCACAGGTCAATTTGAAATGAGATTACAACCCAGTTATATGTTTCATTGTGCCAAATAATTGATTGTGATTACTCACTAGTATTTTTTTTAAGACTTGATTTTTTGTGATATTATTTTCTCAGGTCAATTTGAAATGAGATTACAACCCAGTTATATGTTTCTTTGTGCCAAAAAAGTGAATTGTGTTAACTCACAAGTGATATTTGTTAAGACTTGATTGTTGCGGATACCTTTTTGTGGTCTTCTTTTTTCTCAGGTCAATTTGAAATGAGATTACAACTTAGTTATATGTTTCATTGTGCCAAATAATTGATTGTGTTTACTCACTAGTATTTTTTATTGTTTTTATTTTCTGTCTGAAAATGTCAATTATCAGTGTTATGTTTTTGATTAACATATTTTTGCCAAATACCGATTATTGTGATATTTGTTATTTTCTATAAAGGTACTGTTGAATGTTTTGAGAGTACATTCTGTTACATTTCAACTATTGAAGTGTGTCTTCATTTTCTTTAAAAAAAAAATCAAAGACCCATTTACCATCATGAAGACTGGAAGAGTTTAGTCAACCTTGTCAAGGATTATGCCAGTCAAGGATTATGCCAATCATTTTTCAATTCTCGCACACACTCTATCAGGAGTGTACAGGCAAAGTTTTTATTTTCCAAGTTTGTCAGAAGTAAAATGACCCTTTTTCTCAGTTATATAATTTAATAATTATCAAGAACACTTGATATTGATTTGTTTGTATTATACTGTCTTAAGTCGTATTCTATTAATATGTTTTATGTTCTGCCACTGTATGGTCTTTCAGAGAAGATTAAATACAAGATCAACTTTTTTAATGATTACATGTACTTAACAGTTTATTAAATGTTTTGCTGTGATTTTCAACCATATTGTAACATTATAATCATCTTTGAATTATTTTAGGCTCAACTATTCAAATAAAGTGCAGGAATTTGATTTGGTTAATACTAATTTATTTGAGCTCAATTGTGAATTTCATTTCACTAAGCAGCATTTCCAGCCTCTATTAGCTCAAGGGTTTTTCTTTGAAATATATAGTCAAAATGACCATGTCAACTTCACCACTTGATTTACATAACAGTTACAAAGAGCATTGTGAATAGTTGAGCCTGCTATACTTACCTCATGTTGTATTATAAGTTTTGGACATTTTTAAAATACTGTTGGCATATACATTTATTGAGTTCATGCATGGCAAAAGTAACAAATATATTCTGCATCTGTAAAATTGACATTTCATTGTTTTTTATGACAGATATTCGGAACAAACAAACTGGATTTTATTTAACATATTTCCCAAGTATTCCATTGTTTTCATAATCAGAAATGTATGGATTTGTTTGGTTTGAATGAATTATGAATTAATTATACTGCTATTGGTCCACTTTGGATTACTTAGGTATTCCAGTGTATTCTCACTTGCAAAAGTATGGATTTCTTAGGATATAATGAAGTTTCAAGTTTGGACTACTATGGAATTCTTGGGAAATTTGATGCCAATACCGCCATTGTTTTCCAAATTATTCTAACTGAGAATTCCTAGGATTTCCATTGTTTTCTCACTTGAAAAGCTATGGATTTGTTAGGAACTGGATGAAGTTTCAGGTTTGGATTACTTTGGAATTCTTGGGAAAATTTGGTGCCAATACCGCCATTGTTTTCCAAAGTTTTCCAACAAAGAATTCCTAGGATTTCTTAGAAATTCTAAGGAAATCTTAAGGCTTTATTACATAGAAAACATTAGAAAACTTAACAATTCTAAGGAAATCCAACTAAAATTCTGCAAGGGCTGTTGAAATAGCCGATGAGTAACAATCTTAAAATAATGAAAAAATATTAAATTTAATATAATCAAAATCAACAACAAGTGGATTTGTGAATGTTTCTGCAGGAAACAGACAAATTTTCAATTGTCACATGTTTTCGCGATGCCGCTTTTTATAATTAAAAAAAATCGTAACCAAAAGGAAGATATGTTTTGTTAAAATGTGTGTCATAACACTTAAAATGTAGTTTAGGAATTGAAATTACTAAAGATATTGTTTACTCTAGTTGAAATGGAGGTATTTACCTGTATGTGTTTGTCACATACAATGAATATTTTCTTATGGAAGGGGGGGGGGGGTCGAGTGAATCTGGAAGAAAAGAGCATTAATGGTCTGATGATGTAAGGTTTTTGAAATTATATTTCAAATCTTTTCAATCACTTTTATGGTACAGTGTTGGGACATATTACCATTTTTCCTGAATAAGATTTTTCTTTGTTGGTCAAACTCCAACTCCCCAACCCCTTACTCTGCTCATATACATCATAATCGTCAACTGCATAAGTGCAGCAAAGATGTCTTAACAATTCAAAGTGATCTAGAACTCCTACATTTTTGTGCTTGGGAGTCCCAGGACTCTTACTTTGAAAATTCTAGTGAGAACCCTGCTTAAGTTATTTCATATGGTCAGCATCTTCTTATGATGGTCACACTAATGATAGTCACACTTATTAAAAGAAAGACAACCATTTTTACATTCAACTGAGTTATTATAAAATAATGCTTGAAATGTCTGGGCCGGAAAAATATCATCCGGGCCGGAAATAAATCTAAGGGTCTCGGTCCTTGTGGCCTGAAAAAAAAATTGACTTTCGCATAGACTGGGGGTCATCTACTAATCATGACTAACCTCCATGCCAAATATGAAGACTAAGGGTCAAAGATATCTTAAGTTATTGGGCGGACAAGAAAAAACCGACAGACGGCCGGACGGACGGACAGTCAGACGGACAAGCTGATTCCAGTATACCCCCCTTACAACTTTGTTGTGCGGGGGTATAATTAATATGAGCAAACTTGATAAAATACTACCAAATAATGCTACAGACAAAGTTTGGTGATCATCTATCAGTTAGTTCTGTAGTCTGTAGAAATAGACGTTTAAACGTACTGTAACCCAATTTATATTCGCGAATACAAATTTTCGCGTTTTGCCGAGGTCGGACATATTCGCGAATATTAATTTCCGCGTTTTCTTGATTTTCGAAAAAAAAATATTCGCGGATTGGAAAGTCCGATTGGGCCGTAAAATCCATTAGTCGACTATTAATCTTCAATAATTGAAGTCATTTTTGTTATATTGTATTGGTAAGTGAATTGTGATCACAATTCAGCAAAACATTTTCTCTATATATGTACATGTACGCATCGTTCGTCTTCATTTCTAAACATGTTATTTAAGCGTTTCATAAAAAAATACCTTCTCCAATCGGGGATCGAACCCACGCTGAGAAAATTATGTTAAATGAGTCCGCAATCTAACCAACTGAGCTATACAGGCTGTTAAGTTTGACGGGTAAAATTCGATGCTAGTATGAAACCATCTTGTATTTCACTGTTTGTAATTATGTACACCCAATCCCTTTTGTGGTGCTCGATAGGTTTATACCACCTTTGTCTTAACAATTCACTCAAACAATTATCTTATAGGATCCAAAAAACAATAGCCTTTTGTGATGCTCGATAGTTTTTCCACTTTTGTCAGACGATTTATTCAAACATTTATTTTATAGCGTCCAAACAGGTCGAGGTCACTGGACTTGAGGACAAAAGGCAGATTACTGCACTTGTTTATTTTGATTGCTATATTAACATAGAGTTCTTTTGATATTTATAAAATAGTAGTAGTTTACTTAGTTTGTGTTTTTATTGCTTTATGGCAATATTCATAACAATTCATTACTTCCTAGCAGGTGCCGTAAAATTCGAATATATCCGGTCAAGTAGCTTTGCATGAACAACGTCTAAAATAAAAATTTCTCTCCAATTTATTCGCGAAATCATGCGGACTTATTCGCGCAAACAAATATTCGCGCTTCGTGGCCATCCGCAATAAAGCGAATATTAATTGGTCGCGAATATTCGTTGGGTTACAGTATTTCTATTTTTAATTTTAGCGGCCCCTAAGGGTGTAACGGTTTACCGGTATACCGATATATTGCAATATGAAAAAATAAATTTCGAATCGCGGTACGATTTTTGGAAAACCGGTATTTTATAAAAATCATCATTTTCAATTAATTGCCTTCTAATTTTGTATAAATTTCACATAAAATCTTTGATTGGCAAATTTTGTTGGCGCCAACGTAAGATAAAAGTATCCGACAACTAGTACACTTGAAAGTCAATAAGCGGCCGCATAATTTACATAAGCGGCCCATATGTGAAAGGTCACACGCGACTAGTTTTGTTTATCAAATTGTGTGACACTACTTTCTATTTATTCCTGACATTTTTATTAAGTTTCTACTAAAAATATATACATATAATAATAATATATAAATGTTACTCCATCTTTACATCAAAACATATACACGACAATACGTATTGCAATATATTGCAATACGCTTCAGCAAAATGGCAATATATTGCAATACGGTTTTTGCTGTATTGTTACACCCCTAGCGGCCCCTATAAGGGGCCAATCAAATTCATATGAGCAAACTTGATAAAAGATTACCGAACAATGCTACAGACAAAGTTTGGTGATCATCCATCAATTAGTTCTGTAGAAATAGACATTTAAAGGTACAATGTATTTCTATTTTTAGCTTCAGCGGCCCCTAAAAGGGGCCAATCAAATTAATATGAGCAAACTTGATAAAACACTACCTGAGAATGCAACGGACAAAGTTTGGTGATCATCCACCCATTAGTTCTGTAGAATAGACATTTAAAGGTATTTCTATTTTTACCTTAAGCGGTCCCTAAAAGGGGCCAATCAAATTCATATGAGCAAACTTGATAAACTACTACCCAAGACTGCTACAGACAAAGTTTGGTGATCATCCATGAATTAGTTCTGTAGAAATAGACATTTAAAGGTATTTCTATTTTTAGCTTTTGCAGCCCCTAAAAGAGGCCAATCAAAATAATATTAGCAAACTTGATAAAAGACTACCCAAGCATGCTTCAGACAAAGTTTGGTGATCATCCATCAATTAGTTCTCTAGAAATAGACATTTAAAGGTATTTCTATTTTTAGCTTTAGCGGTCCCTAAAAGGGTCCAATCAAATTGATATGAGCAAACTTGATAAACGACTACCCAAGAATGCTACAGACAAAGTTTGGTGATCATCCATCAATTAGTTCTGTAGAAATAGACATTTAAAAGAATTTCTATTTTTAGCTTTTGCGGCCCCAAAAAGGGGCCAATCAAAATAATATTTGCAAACTTGATAAAAGACAACCTAAGCATGCTTCAGACAAAGTTTGGTGATCATCCATCAATTAGTTCTCTAGAAGTGGACATTTAACGATATTTCTATTTTTAGCTTTAGCGGCCACTAAAAGGGGCCAATCAAATTAATATGAGCAACTTGAGAAAACACTACCTGAGAAGGCTACAGACGAAGTTTGGTGATCATCCATCAATTAGTTCTGTAGCAATAGAAATTTAAAGGTATTTCTAATTTTAGCTTAAGCGACCCCTAAAAGGGGCCAATCAAATTCATATGAGCAAACTTGATAAACAACTACCCAAAAATGCTACAGACAAAGTTTGGTGATCATTCATCAATTATTTCTGTAGAAAAAGACATTTAAAGGTATTTCTATTTTTAGCTTTTGTGGCCCTTTAAAGGGACCAATCAAAATAATATTATCAAACTTGATTAAAACCTACCCAAGCATGCTACAGACAAAGTTTGGCGATCATCCATCATTAGTTCTCTAGAAACAGACATGTAACGGTATTTCTATTTTTAGCTTTAGCGGCCCCTAAAAGGGGCTAATCAAATGAATATGAGCAAACTTGATAAAACACTACCCGAGAATGCTACAAAGTTTGGTGATCATCCATCAATTAGTTCTGTAGAAATAGACATTTAAAGGTATTTCTATTTTTAGCTTTAGCGGTCCCTAAAAGGGTCCAATCAAATTGATATGAGCAAACTTGATAAACGACTACCCAAGAATGCTACAGACAAATTTTTAAATTTCAGACACATTTAAAGGTATTTCTATTTCAAGCTTAAGCGGCCCCTAAAAGGGGCCAATCAAATTTATATGAGCAAACTTGATAAAAGAGTACCCAAGAATGCTACAGACATAGTTTGGTGATCATCCATCCATTAGTTCTGTAGAAGAAGATGTTTAAAAGTTTTTCTATTTTTATCCCTACTGACCCCTTAAAGGGGCCAATCAAAATAATATTAGCAAATTTGATAAAAGACTACCTAATAATGCTACAGACAAAGTTTGGTGATCATCCATCAATTAGTTCTGTAGAAGTAGACATTTAAAGGTATTTCTATTTTTAGCTTAAGCGGCCCTTAAAAGGGGCCAATCAAATTCATATGAGCAAACTTGATAAAAGACTACCAAAGAATGCTACAGACAAAGTTTGGTGATCATCCATCCATTAGTTCTGTAGAAGAACATGTTTAAAGGTTTTTCTATTTTAAGCCCTAGTGACCCCTAAAAGGGGCCAATCAAATTAATATGAGCAAACTTGATAAAAGACTACCTAAGAATGCTACAGACAAAGTTTGGTGATCATCCATCAATTAGTTTAGTAGAAAAATGTTTAAAGGTTTTTCTATTTTTAGCTCTGCTGACCCCTAAAAGGGGCCAATTTGAATGACATAAGCAAATCCAAGTGTGACTGTCACAAGGATGCTACAGACCAAATTTAAAGTAAATCTGCCTTGTAGTTTCAGAGAAGAAGACGATTGTTGACACATGGCGATGGACGACGGACGCTGGAGCATCCCCCTTTGATACTAATAGCTCACC